CCGCGGCTTGCCCGGGTCCGTACGACTGAACCGAACCCTTCCTCGCCCCCCGCGCCGGGCTCCGACCTTTCCTCGCGGGGACGTGTAGATATCGGCTGAGTGAAATGACAAAGCGCGGCGGGCGATTGAGCCATCGCGCCGCAGCCGCGGCACGGGAGGAATGGACATTCGGCTCACTGAGCTGATCTCACGTTGAGCATCTTACTTTTTAGGTACATCTAATTCACCCATAGAAATCGCAGAACGGGCACGAATTAACTTTTATTAGAGCCCAGTGAAAAATACGCAGTGACAATTGTAAAAATATACAAAGTAAGACAGAAGGAATGCTTTGATGGCACGACAGTTAAGCCAATATTTAACAAGAGTTAATTAAAAAAAAATGACACTAGCAAGGAATACCAAGTGCGGATGCAATAAAGTTATTTCACTTAATTCACATCCAAGGACTTAAAAAAAAAAAAGAGATCAAGAGATGAAAGACATTTGTCATTTAGAAGACACTCTTAGGAATGAGAGTACTGCAGCTCAGCAGGCTGACACCTTCCTTCAATCACATCTGAGTCGCTCTTTCTAGACTTTTTGCAGCATCTTTTAGTTTTCCAACTAAATCCTAAGAGATGAAATAGTGTCTTAGAATAAACATATTTTTAAAAGGTCATCTAGAGGAACAGATCTATTTTTTTAAATACACAGAGGCAAGGGAAACCAGCACCTTGTAGCACAAAGAAACGTTGCAACTGATGAACAATGCCAACAAGTAATTAAATAGCTCCGTATTTTACAATGTAACAAGGAAAGTGGGAACTGAAGGAAAACACTTTTAAAAGTATATTTGCTCCTGAAATAGATCACCACTATTAACATGTAGATTTTGTCGGTATTGCCACGACGGCTAATGATGACATTTGCTCCAGGCTTTGAAGTATTATATGCATTTCTAATACTCTAAAAATATTTTGAGTGCAGTTTTGTAGTAGAACCATTCTCCAGGCAAAGCACGTCAGATTTCACTACGTCAGCAAACCGACTAGGAACGCTCATTAGTGAAAAGTGGACGACTTTGGAGACACACATTTAAAAAGAGGAGGTGTAAATCTGAAGTTTTAATATCTTGCTTTTCCCCTCCACCCCATCCCCTCTTCCCGATCCTCCGCAGTTTGGTCACTTCCAAGCATTACAATACCTCTATTGTTCAGATACACATTTAAATCGCTAAACAAAGATCAACGTTTGTTTCAGTACATTTCTTACATGTCATTAACACCACTGAAGAGCCTTCGGTTTGTTCTCTATTTTTAATCGTGACACATTTAAACCACTAAACCAGCTTCTTTAACCATTTCTCCAAAGCATGGGAAATCAGAGTTTCAGAAAATGATGAATTTCCTCCCACATATACAAACATATTACAGGCACGAAAACAAAATATTTATGCAAATTTGTAAAACACTCCCCATGCAACTAAAATCGGTTACTTTCCAACTTTATTTGAAAGGACAGTAAAAATACACTTGGGTAATTTTTATGGAAGATTCCCTCTTACCCTCCCAGTACCAGTTTTTGGTTTTTAGCAATAGTATATATTAGTTTATTATGATTGGCAAGTTGTTAAATGCATTTACATCCACAACTGGAGCTAAGCATAGAATGATGAAGGAAACAAGTACCTGTAATTGCTCCATCGTACAACTAAAGCTAACATCAGGGTGTGATCCTGAATCACTGTTCTGAAGGGAAAAAACACAAACAACAATGTCTACTTCATTTAAAAAATATAGAAACTGTGGTTTTTTCCTCTGAGGGTGATGGGAGTACAGTACCTCTACATTTAAGGTCACCAAGTAGGAAGGCTGATAAGTTTTATGAAGTTGATTGTTCTAAATTAAAAACAAAGAACACACACAAAAAAAAGTCAGGTCTCAGCACTAAAACAGACTGAAGAAACACCTTGATGTGGTAAAATTACCTTGATCTGATATTCCAAGCGCCAAGACACATCAGTTACATGGAGAGGAGATCTGCCTATGCTGAAAGACACAATAGTTACAAGTTCCCTATGCTAAAACAAAAGGTCATTTTCTCAAGCTGTCCATCAATAAAGAACTTTTTCATGATCCTTGCAATGCTTCTTGAAAAGCTCAAAAAGGTTTTTTTAGAGTAGAACTCCAAATGAAGAAAACTTTCAACTTTTCTAGAGTTTGTTAAAAATGCACTTTTTTTCCCCTACTGGAACAATATTTTGTACTTTAATCACCTAAAGTATGCAGAAGTGTTTTTCAGGACAGTTTCAAACTAACTGTAATTGAAAATGTGTCTCTGTGCTGACTGATGGACCTACCTTCCCAATAGGATTTCCAATGCATCCTTGTTTTTCTGGAGAGAGAAAAAAAAAAAAAAAAAAGGAAAAAAATTTTGCTGGGTTCAATAAATTCCTATGACAGGAAAAAAATTTCATATGTTAAAATTGGTTTAAAAACCTGGTATTCGGTGCAAAATTGTTCTATTCTCTCTTTATCCAGTTTACAGTCTTCTAGACATGTGCTAGGGGGAAAAAGGCATTTATTAGTTCTCTGTTCACATTAACTCAGCAGTACACTCTGAAGGAACAACCGCTAGAAAAATGGTGTAGCTTCCAAGTATTCGTACCTTATGGCAGATACATCGGCTTTGTGCTTCCCTGCCTCCAGAATACACGTTGCAGCCGCAGCATGGCAATGTTTTAATACTGTAGGGTCAATATCTTTCAGGTCTGGATCGTCTAAAATAAATGAATTACTGATGACACACGCACTTTGTGCCAAACCCCCAGCACACGGTACCGAGGGCGGCTGCTCCCCCTTCGAACGGGATCATTCCCCATCAAAAAAAAACCAAAAAAACCCTTTAAAATGAAACACATTTGGTGTTTCAGAGAGAAAGGACGGAGCGCGCAGGCAAGGTGTGAGGAGGCGGAGGAGGAGTATTAGAGACATTTAAACACTGGTTGTCTTCAAGTGAATATGACAGTTGTGAGAAAAATGGTCCCTTTTTTCTTTTTATTTTTTAAAGGTTGGAAAAAAAAAAAAGAGAGAGAGAGAAGAAAAAAAAGAGAAGGAAAACTTCAATTTCCTCTCCAAGCGCCGTCCGCGCCGCTCAGCAGCCCGTTAGTGGCGAGGAGCGGAGCCGGAGGCACCGGCCGG